CGGTCTGCGCGCAGTAACCGGGCGCCAGGTATCCCCCGCCGTAGCCTGCAGCGTACTCGGGCGCCGCGGACGGGCCCCCGCACGCATTGCCGGCGTAGAGGGGTTCAGGCAGGTTCCCGGCTAAAACCGGGGAGCCCCCGAGGCCCCCGGAGCCGCCCCCACTGCCCGACTTGGTTCCCGGGAGCCCTTCGTGGAGTGAGGCCAAGGGGTAGTGTGGCTCTGGCCCCGGCCAGGGCTCGGGGTCCCCTTTGGCGCCGTTGAGGAAGGCGGCATCGCCGTAGCCGCCCAGGGTGGGGCGCTCGTAGGGCGAGTCCAGGACCCCTGAGTACTTCTCTGCGTAGCGCTTGAGGAGGTTGGAGGCAGTGAGGGCAGAGATGTCGTCGTGTGCCCAAGCATAGTGGCAGCGCTGGCGACCCCCAGGGGGCAGCTCCAATTTGTGGGCTGGTGACGGCGTGGTGGAGGAGACGTCCAGGTGCTGCTCTGGCCACTGGTTGAGAGGCTGGGCGTGTTCCGGTGTCCAGTGCATCTTCGACAGAGCTGCAAGAGAGAAGGGGCTAGTGAAGTCCTTCAGAGCCGGCTGACCTCTAGCCCACCTGCTGAGACTGCAGCTTGCGACGGGCTGGCTCTCAGGCATCCACCACCCTCCGGCACCTTCTCGAGCACGAAGTGCACATACTGGATTTGCCCCTCTTGTCCCAGGATTAAAGTTATCTGAAAACACTTCCCTCAGGACAAGAGGTATCTGGAAGGGACATGTTTGGCTCCAACTTCACCTTATAGGCAATGATTATTATTTCATCCAGGCCACACCAGCCCTGCCCTCCAGGACACATGGTCCTGACTTTCAGACATAATGTGAAGAGTCAGGCAACGAGTGAGACACTCTAGACCTGGGAATAACCAGGCCTAAGTGGGGCTCATTCAGTAACAGCTGTTTGTTGCACACTACCAGGGGCTAGGTAGGCACTAAAGAGACACTAAGGTTTGTGTAAGGATGAGAAGCCTGCCCAGGGCCACGAACCTAGTGGCCCAGCAATTTGATAGTCCTAAGTGTCCTGTTCACCTCAGCCTTCCCAGAGACTCCAGGGCCCCCTTGGGGCCTGAAGTGAAGGATGTAGATGTCTTTGGCAGTGTCTCACTGTCCTTGGGAAATCCCAGAGACTGACCTAGAAGCGTACATTTCCTTTCCACTTGGTTTCTTTTCATCTCTACCTGATGAAGTCAGAGCACCTTGGTTCCAGACCCAACTCTCAGGCGATGGCTGTGTGCCCAGGGCAGGTGTTACCACCTGCCTCATTCTCAAAATGTGTTTCACCACAATACAGAAAGGTTATTTAGAATAGATAAATCATATTCCAGAGAAGATGGGGCCAGGTTAGTTCACAGCAGTGCAGGAAAGTGCACACCTTAGCTTCCCAGTAACCAAATAACTCACTTTGCAAAGTAAAAAACACTGCCATACTCAAGAGAAGCAAAATGTTCCTGGCATCGAGATCACAGGACTTATTTTTCATGGACCTCAGGAAGCAAACCTGTGAGATGTAATAATGTCCTCTTATATAACCATGCCATAAACACAGAAATGTTACATGGCTGTTTCTTACACTGTCCCTCAGCACCAAAGCATGAGCCAAACTCTAGTCAAAGGATTCAGAATGGGCCTGGGGAACTACTCTCTGAGCACATGACTCTAATGGGTTAGCCTGTCCAAGGATTAAAATCTCAAAGACTAATAGGGCCCATGGCATACTAGAGATGGTTTTTGCTGATGAGTATTTCTCAAAGCTAAGCTTTTGATAAGTTAACCTTACAGGTTCAATATTCTTTCTTCAACAAATACTAAGTGCTGTGCTCAGCAGGGAATGGGGGGCAAATTGTAAGGTGAATATGATGGTTCAAGAAGGTGCAGGACACAGAACATCCTGTGAGGCAGGAAGATACAGGTGTGTGCCAAGAGCTCTGGGACTTGGGAACATACCACACCTGGTTGAGAAGGCCTCACCAGGGAGGTGGTGTCTTCACTGGACCTTGAATTATAAGGGACCAAGTTGACCAGACACACTAGAGGGTTCCAGCACCTTTAAAGGTACAGAGTACAATGTATTCAGAAAAGCTGGGCTGGCTTAACTCATATGCCCTATTCCCTTCTTCAAGACAATTTATTGCCACCTTCTTGAAAATTGTCTTAATAAATCTACACACCTGTGTCTATGATGTGAATCATGCCCCTTAAGAAATAGTTCTTTGAACCAAAAAAGACCCCAAATAGCCACAGCAATCTTGAGAAAGAAGAACAAAGTTGGAGAGATCACAATACCAGGTATCAAACTATACTACAAAGCCATTGTAATCAAAATAGCCTGGTACTGACATAAGAACAGGTATATAGATTAATGGAACAGAACAGAGACCCCAGAAATTGATCCACACCATTGTAGTCAATATTTGACAAGAGGCAAAAACATAAAATGGAGTATAGACAGTCTCTTTAACAAACAGTGTTGGGAAAACTGGACAGGCAAATGCAAAACAATGAAACTAGACCACCAACTTACACCATACTCAACAATAAACTCAAAATGGATAAAAGGCTTACATGTAAGTCCTGAAACCATAGAAATCCTAGAAGAAAACATAGGCAGTAAAAATTCAGACATCTCACGTAGCAGAATTTTTGCCGATACATCTAGGGCAAGAGAAACAAAGGACTACAAATGGGACTACATCAAAGTGAAAAGCTTCTGCACAGCAAAATTAACCACCATCAAAATGGAAGGGGAATTCACTGTATGAAAGAACATATTCGCCAATGATACATCTGATAAGGGTTAATTTCCAAAATACATAAAGAACTCATACAACTCAAAAAAAGGAAGAAAAGCAATCCAATTTTAAAATGGGCAAAGGACCTGAATAGACTTGTTCTCCAAAGAGGACATACAGATGACCAAGAGACATATGAAGAAATGTTCAATATCACTAATCATCAAAGAAATGCAAATGAAAACCACAATGAGATATCACCTTACACCTGTCAGAATGGCTACCATCAATAAATCAACAAGTGCTGCCGAGGATGTGGAGAAAACGGCACACTATTTTACTGGGGTGGAAGTGCAGGCTGGTGCAGACACTATGGAAAACAGTATGGAGTTTCCTCAAAAAGTTAAAAATGGATCTGCTTTTTGACCCATTGGTCCCACTTCTGGAAATATATCCTAAAAACCTCAAAACACCAACCAAAGAATATATGCACCCCTATGTTCATAGCAGTATTATTTACAATAGATAAGATTTGGAAACAGCCCAAGCACCCATCAGTAGATGAATGGATAAAAAAAAGCTGTGGGACATTTACACAATGGAATACTATGCAGCTGTAAAAAAGAAAGATCTCTTGCCCTTTAAAACAGCATGGATGGACCTGGAGATTATTATAAGTGAAATAAGCCAGTCAGAGAAAGACAAGTATCACATGATCTCACTTATCTGTGGAATATAATGAACAAAATAAATTGACCAACAAAATAAGTCCCAAAGCATGGAGGCCTGGAACAGACTGATATATCTCAGAGGGGTTGGGGGGTAAAGTTATGAGAAGAGAAAAACCAAAGAACTTACATACTTATATGCATAGCCCATGGACACAGACAATAATGTGGTAAAGGCCTAAGAGGGGGCTGGATGGAGGGGGAGAAATGGGGACATCTGTAATACTATCATTCATATATATATATATATATATATACACATATATTTGTGTGTGTGTGTGTATATATACATACATTATATATATTTTATTTATTTATTTTTAAAGAAATAGGGCTTATGTGCAGTGAGCAACCTACATAATCACACACTACAAGCCTGGAAGGAGCACCAAGAAATGACAGAGGCTTGGGGGTAGGTGTATGTAGGGAGAGTAGTAGAAGAAGAGGCTGAAAATAAGCAAGTTGCTTCTCAGGTTCTCTTCAGTTGCCCTTGCTTGCAGCAGTTTGTTGACAGCACCACCTCCAGAAGAGCACAATCTTTGAATATAAAACTATTTACTCTCATTCCCAATGCCCTAGGGAAGGCATGAGCCATAAATACTAACACTTAAAAAATGGAATTTTTTAAAAATTTTATTTTTGTTTAAAATATTACAGATGTCCCTTTTTCTCCCCTATGACAAAAAAATGGAATTTTTAAGGTTGTTTCGCCTTAAGAGGTGATCCTGCACACCAGAGACGAGAAGGCAGGGCAGAGGCAGCAATGCTGAGAGTGAGGTCTGTGGGGGGCAGGTATGCAGCTCTCCAGTTCCTACTGAGGGTCTTCAAAGCACAGAGGCATTACCTGGTGTCAGAGGGGGTAACTTCCTGGGACATCAGAACTCACAAGTGGTCTGGCTGCAGGGTCATATGAGGTAACATCAGAGTTACACAAATGTAAATACAGGGTGGGGCAAAAGTAGGTTTACAGTTGTTCATATGGAAAATACGATAAATACAATAATAAGTAATAATACAAGAATAAACTCTGTCTCGAGTACTCACAACTGTAAACCTACAGTTGTTCATGTGGAAAATACAATAATTAATACAATAATTAATAAGTAATAATATAAGAATAAACTGTCTCGAGTACTCACAACTGTAAACCTACGTTTGCCCCACCCTGTATTATGTTACCACATGGACCCTTAAACCTGATTTTTTCTCTTCACTGTTATCTGTGCTTTGGCTCCTTAATACAGAGAAAAGAGATTTGACCTTGATGATAGCACTTTCCCTTAACATTAAACTGGGAATGATGGGGAAGGACATACATAAACACAGGAAAGAAGGCTCTGTGTCTGGACTTGTCCACACGCATTTCCTTCACCCCCTTCCACACCCTCTGCTCCTCTTCACTCAAGTCCCCACCCTCAAGCCAAGCACTCAGGCCTTGGTCATCACTGAACCACTCCACCTAGGAATTGTGGACTCCAGGAACCCACTTGTGGCTCTCCAAACCTGTTCCAGCATCACACCCACTGTCTCATCTACTCCAGGATTAGCCCCTCTCAAGCTGCTTCTGTCTCTGCCCAGAGGGCCCTTGTCCCTGGCAGCTCATCCAGCCCACTTGATCTCCACCCTCAACCCCCTCAGATGCTCTAGGCAATTCTCTTTCATTTTAGCCAGGGCACATTGCCCTCACCTCTGGCTTTCTGTTTTCACCTTTAACTACATCTACATCCCCTTTGCAGGCAGGAGGCCTGAGGGTCCATCCACCCCAGCCCTTGATCCCATCTTGGTACAATCTGGGCTCTTGCCCCATTAATTAACTATTCCTCCCCACTACTGTGTCCTGGCTCCCTCCCCACAGCAAGCATAATTGTTTCCCATCTTCAAAAAGACCTCCTGGACCCTAAGTCCCCCAATATCTACCAGCCCATCTTTTTTCCCCTTCTCCTTTCAAGCGTCATTGTCTAAATGCAATGATCTAGCCTCTGCTAGAGGACCTTTAGTGGTATAACTAGGGAGCAGAGGACCGGTCCGCAACTTCTGAACTTAGTCACAAAGCATGGGATCTCAAGACTTCCTCTCACATCTTCCAAGGGAAGAACAAAGGTCTGACCAGAACGGAACTGCATCATTGCCCAAGGAGGGCAAGAAGACAGACGTTTGAGGAGGTGAGTTTGCCATCTTGCACACTGGCTGAGAATGCTGGCCCACATGAGCCTGAGCACACTCCAGCATTCATGCCTACACCACCCAGACTGTGCAGAGATGTGCACAGCTGCAGGTACACGTGCATATGTCTGTGCATGTATACATACATATATACTATACTCTCTGTCTCATCTCTCTGGGGTTTTAAATCCGGTCTCAGCTGGGTGCTTTCTGATACAACCAGTCTCCCCCACTTGCCTCCCTCTCCTCCCCTCACTCAGAGAGGTTAGGGTAGAGCATACTGTCTCCCTGCCCCCATCCCCAGGCCAGTTACAGTCCTCTTGCTCTTACACAAGGTTCTGGGCCTACCTGTGACCTAGCTCACAAGCTCCTGCCATTCAGTCTCCTACATGAGGGATCTCCTGGAGTTCCTGCCTCCCTCTAAGGTTCATAGACTATATATACTCCAGTCCCCTGCATTACCTGAGCTGGAGGTGAGGAAAGTCCCAGGGACTTGGGAAAAAGAATCAGAGACCTGGGTTTGAATCCAGATTCAACTTACTGTATGACCATGGCCAGGTTGCCTGACTTCACTGAAGCTCAATTTCTCCATCTGTTAAAGGGTATAATATATGCCCTGCAGAGTGGTCTTGAGGATTCAAAAAAATAATGTTACGTAAAGTATGCAGTCCAGTGTGGGGTAAAAAGTAGTGTGATAAGTGGTATAATTAAGAACCAAAGCAGTGGCCTATCCTTACTGAGTGACTGAATAAGTCCCTTCCCCTTGGGGTTGGGGAAACTTGGAGAATGTTCTGGGAAGGAGGTTAATTCCAGCTGATATGATAGAACAGTCCTCATGCCATTTCCCATCACCCCGCACTGGGGGCGGAGCCAGCCCCTATTCTATGCTTTATCTTGTGTAGCCCTCACAACAATGCTATTGTCATTATTCCCATTTTACATGTGAGGAGACTGAGAGATTAATACATCCCCAAGGTCACATGGCTATTACATAGTAGAGCAGGATCCTGACTGCAACAGTCTGACCAAGAGCCCAGGCCCTATCTCTTGACTGCACTGCCTCCCTGGTCCAGCCCTCGGGTATTCACAGCCAGAGAAGAGACTGAGGCCATGACCTGTTCTACCTCTTTTCCTTGGCCCTATGGAAACATGTGGCTATGCTTCAAATGCTATATATTACCCTTCAGACCTGCAGTTGGAAGCACCTACTGGGGTTGAGTGTCCCAAGTTGCCTGTGCTCCCCCAGCAAGAGAATTTGTGTCCTCTCATGGCAAAACAGCCCAAGTAGAGCTGTCCCTCTCCTTGTAAACATGCCAGCTGATAAGCATTCACACCTCTAGGCTGGGCAGACGGTTCTGTATCTGGGTCTGTGGACTTCCCTAGGGCCCAGCGGGCGGGGACTCTGTGGAAGAAAGGTAACTTACATCAGCTGCACCCTTTGGGGAGCAAGGTCAGGCTCCTGAGGCAGCTCTTTCTCTGCAGACCCTTAAAAGCCAAGCGCCCTTCTACATAGAAGAGGCTGGATCCACTTAACTCCACCCACAGAGTGCAGTCCTCCAAACTCAGAGGAGCAATAAATAGTACCGGAAGGAATTACTAGATGGAAGGGTAAGTAAAAAGTTCCTTAAACTCCCACCCCTCATTTTTAGGAAGTCTTCC